TGTTATTGTTTCGGTTCATTGATTTACAAATGTGTCCATGACATAACACCTTTGTTATATAAAATCTCATGCAGATAAATAGTAATGTTTTCGTTTCTAGATAGATAAAAAGAAATAAAAGAATCATATGATAATTTATACGATATAAAGAAAAAAGCAACAATATGCAACCTCTTGCCAAAAGCTCAAGTCAACCACGTAATCCAACGGAATCATTGACGAATGCACCGGCTTATAAATGTGGTTGGCTTTATAAAAGGGGTATGTTAAATGCTTATTTTATAGATGGAAGTTTTTTCTCAAAAGTAGAATTGATAGAAATGGATATTGATTAGTTTGAATTTTGTTATTTAGTTTGTTTAAAAAATATTTAAGATTTATTATAAAAATAGAACGAGAAAACATTGTTTTACAAATAAAAAGAAACTTGTCACATGTCTCTTTCAATTATTAACCTTGAAATCAAAAGAAAGAGTATTATTACATAAGAGAAACAAGTCAGGTAGAAAAGCTATGTTTTTTGTTTTGCAAGAGCATCGATTCATCATTGTGTTATAGTTGTCAACAGAGATCATAACCGTATCTTTTTTTAATTAGTAACTAAGAAAAAAAGTAGTAAAATCTTTGCGACAAGTTAGGTAGACTTTACCTAGTATCTCATAAACTTAACTTGATATGAATGCTGTCTTGAAATATTGAATCACTATAAAACAAAGACTTTCATTTTATCTTGAAACTTATTATGCGTTTGACTTATATGTAGAATATAAGAAAAGAGTCCATTTAATCAAATCTTATTGTATTCGAAAGAACAAGATCTAAGTCCGTTGCCACTAGTTTGATATAAACTATCACTAAATTGACAAAACAATGTATAATATATTAAATAATTTCTTGTTCTATTATTGTTTTTACTTTAGGTGAACACATAAAAACTTGGCGTCCACGTTATTTCATTCTTCGTCATGATGGTAATTTTTATGGTTATCGTAAGCCTCCAGTTTTAAATGATACGCAACAAGAAGAACCACTTAATAGATTTCAAGTGACTGATTGTAGTGTTGTACGTCAAGATAAAATCAAACAAAATGCTTTTGTTATACATTTTCATCAAATGAAAATAGAACGATTATTCGCTGCTAGCAGCTCACAAGATCGGTATTTAATGAAAAGAGAGAAAAAAGAAAATTTTCTTTAATAAATTTGTTTTGGTTTATTTGTTTAGTGAAGAATGGATAACAGCTATTGAAATAATTAATCGACAAACATCACCACATTTACAACAAAAATCGCCAAGCACTAGTGCTAAAATGGTTACGAATGATGATGCTGATAATACAGAAAACGAATATCCTTTAATGAACGAAGTATTTACACGAAGACCAGTATGAAAAATAATTTAAAAAGAAAATATGATTTGTTTTTTTCTTTTAAATGATTTTTTTTCTCTTGTAGCAAATAAATGATTTTGAATATTTAAAAATACTTGGCCGTGGCACATTTGGAAAAGTGGTTTTATGTCGAGAAAGAACAACACAACGAATATTTGCTATGAAAATGTTACGAAAAAGTCTTGTTATAACAAATGTATGGAAAATTCTTCGTCTTGTTTTATTGTTTACTTTAATTTTATTTTCATTAGAATGAAATTGTACACACAATGGATGAAAATAAAATTCTTCGACGAATTCGCCATCCATTTATTACGGTAAATTACTTATTTATTCTTATTTCTATTGAATTGAATTGAATTCTTTTTTTATAGAATTTAATATGTGCATTTACAACCAGTGATCGTCTTTGTCTTGTTATGGAATGTGTTAATGGTGGTGAACTTTTTTTTCATCTAAATCATGAAAAACGTTTTTCAGAAGAACGTACAAGATTTTATATAGCTGAAATAGCTTGTGTTATTGGTTATTTACATTCAAGAAAAATTATTTATCGTGATGTTAAAGTAAGAAAAACGAACAATCATTTTTGTTAATTTATTAGTCTTCTAATTTAGTTGGAAAATATTTTACTTGATCGTTTTGGTCATATTAAATTAGTTGATTTTGGTTTATGTAAAACCAATGTACCATTCGGACAAACGACTGTTACTTTTTGTGGTACACCACAATATATTGCACCAGAGGTATGACAAGAAAAGATATTTATTTCATTATGAAGAATCAAATATGATTGTTGATCTTCATATATTTAGCAAAAAATTTTATTTAATGTGTCGAAAACCAATATCTGTTAATTGATGTTAGACTAATTGTAAATCTTTGTTTGTTACTATTATAGTTAAACTATATATGTTCTGCTAATAGAAAATCTTTCGAAATATTATCATTCATGACTTAAAAATAGAAAGCTATTAGTGAAATCTCTGCAACATTGAAATGGGAAATTATTTTTAATTTTATCAATTTTGAAAAAAACATTGCTTCACCATGTTTTGTCTTTATCTTTCAGAAATCGAATAAAGAAGTAGTTTATATATTATAATGAGATATTATTTAGATACGGTCTGTAATCGTATATCAATGTACGTCATAGTCTGTGAGAGGAAAGAGAGGAGATATTCCAATTTTTACTTTTTTACTTCAACATTCTTTTTAGATCATATTTCATAAAATGAACAAGATTAGCTTTTCTAATTTTAGTTCTAGATTAGTTTGTTTGTTAAAGTTTGAAATAACAGATACGATACAGAAGCGATAGCACAAAATGTTGATCTTTATTGAGTATCGATAAATACGTTCTGAAAAAGAAAATTTTTTTCCCGAGGATAGATATATTTGTGAGACATTCATTCACAAAACGACATTAGAAACTAGAGCAACATTTGTAGAATAATATTGTACTTTGTCTATAGATTCCTGAAAATGATTCTTGCAAATGATATTTAATTTAATTTTTTGTTAATATATCAGGAATACCTTGTAAGATAATTATTTATTCGATTTTGTGTACTTGTCAAAAGAAATCTTATCAAACATTAGTTGAATATAATTGAATTTTATCTTATAAAATTTTTTATTGATAAGTTCATATTAAATTCACGAAAAATAATTATGCGAATGTTTCCTATTTGTCTCACATCATTGTATTTATATAATTTTTCCAAAAGCAAATTATATACAATTCAAAAAAAACTATTAATTTCCTATCAATTGACAAAAAAAAATTTGTTTCTAAAGCACTTGTTGTGATAAAATACAAGAATCGACAGTAGATATCATTATTTTTGCATCATAGATTGATTGAAATTCGAAATATCAATGAGTTTTATTTTACAAATAAAAATTCGCAATGAAAATCAGCAAATGAAATTTAAATATTTTGATGATAGTATAGATCTTTTTTTTATGAGATAATTGAAGATCTATCACTATATAGCATTATAATTGAATAGCAATCAATCATTTAATAAATCTTATTATTTTTATTTGAAAATAAAAAGATTCTTCGGATGACATCCTATACAAATGCAATCGATTGGTGGGGTGTTGGCGTTATAATGTATGAATGTCTTGTCGGTCGATTACCATTTGCTGATACTAAAAGTCAAGAAGGTCTTTTTCAAAAAATCCTGAATCATGAGCCAACTTATCCAGCTAGTTTATCGCCAACAGCACTTGATTTAATTAAACGTTTTCTTAAAAAAGAGCCAACTGAACGGTAAAGATAAAAAAAAAACACATTAAGAAGATTCAATATAATTTTATTAATCATTTATTTTAGTATTGGATCTGGTGTTGACGATGTTATTGAAGTTGAACGACATCCATTCTTTATTAATATTCCTTTTCGTTTATATGAAGAAAAAAAAGTTAGTTTATTTTTGTTAAATTAATAAATTATAAAGTAATACTTTTAAATTATTTCTTCAGATTGAACCACCATTTAAACCAGTACTTGATTCAGATACAGATACACGTTATTTTGACGCTGAATTTACTAATGAGCCAGTTTGTATAACACCGCCTGGTAAAAATAAAAATATTTTTTTGTGTTATATTTTTATTATAATCGTGATATTTTATTTTTCAGGTAGTACTGAATCTTTAAATGGTCTTGGTTTTTCAGATGATGCTTTCGAACGGTATCTTTTTTCTCTGATATCATAATTCATTTTTTTTTCTTATTTTTTATTTTCATACAGTTTTACTTATGTTGGGAATGATGGTTTAAGTCATTTTGCATCTCGTTCAATTTTATCAATGGCATCATCATTTGCTGCTCGTTCACAATCAAATATTTATCTTGATGATCCTGATTATTGTCAACAATATTCACATGTTCATAATTTACCACCTCAATTTTCTGTTTCAACAATGAATATGTCATCAATGATTTCAGATGCAACATCAGCTCCATCATCATCATCTGTATTAAAAAGTGCTATAAGTATGCAACAGTTAAAAGACCCATCAAGAAAAATGAATAATAGAACATCGAATATAACTGAACAACATAATATGAGTATGGATCAAGATCAATCAGAACAACGATCAACATTATCAATACCGAATATATATGAACAACAATTAATGAATGAACGTCTTATGTGTATACAACAAATGATGGCTAGTGGACAAAATTTTGCTTCAATGTTTAATGATGATCCACAATTTGCTCAACAAATTATGGCTTATATGTCACCTGGTGGTCATTATCCACAACAAGAGCCTGAAGTTATTGAAATAATGGACGAATAGAGAAAAAAAATACATTCGTCTTAATTTGTCAGATTTTTTTCTCTATTGTTCGTTTAGTCTTATGTCGTAACAAAGAATAAATTATAATCGAGTTATCTAATTCTGACTTTGTGTTTATTTCTTTATTTGACTAATTATGAAATTGATTTATCTTCATTTGAAATGTTGAGTGTTGTTTTTATTTTCAAGAAGAATAATATCTCTATATATTTATAAATGCATATATATTTTTTTTTTAATTAATTATTACAATAAATTCTTTTGCCATTGAGTTTGATATCATATCGTTCATGAATATCGAATCATTTCAATAAATTCTGCAAAATTAATTTTTCCACTTAAATCTCGATCAGCATGACGGATCATTTCTTGAGCATCAGCTTCGGATATATTTTCACCAATACTTTGCATGACACGTAAAAGATCTTTCATACTAGAAAGATTGCAAGGTGAAAAAAAGAATTGTTTGTTCTATAAAGAAATATTTACGTAATAAAACCAGTGTTTGTTGGATCAAAAATGTTAAATGCTTCTTGTAATTCTTCAATATTATCATCTACATTTACTTTACATGCAATCAACGTTAGAAATTGAGTTACTGTTATTTGATCAGAATCTATTATTTAGAATCTAAATAAAATAACGATAAAAATAACTAGTCGATAAAAACTAACCATTAATATTATTTTGATCAAGTAAATGTTTTAATTCATCTTCTTCGATAATAAATGATTGAAGATTTTCTCCGAACTGTTTAAAAATAGTTGGAAGATCTTTTGTACGTATTAATCCATCATTATCATCATCTACAGATGAAAATGCTTGACGAATTTCTTTTAAAAAAGATAAATATTTTAATTTTTCATTTAATGAGAAATTATTCAAGTACCATACAGTTCTTGTTCACTTAGTGTTACATTCTAAATAATATATAGAATTTTATTGTATATAATAAAAAACACACGAGTTATTATTCACCATATCTGGTTTTATTTTACTTATACTTGAAAATTGAAATATAAGATTCGATTCGGTATTAAAAAAATTCTTTTTATTTCAATTCAAATGAGAAGACAAAAAAAAAGAACCGAAAGTATAATTAATTTCTTATTCGATAAGATGGTGGAGGTGCACTGTCACTCAATTGTTTCTCTAGAAGAAGAAGAAAATGAAATGAAAACAAGAAAAGAAATTGCTTAAAATATAAATACCGTTAAGTCGTAAGATAGATTTGATCCAAAGGCCATTGATAAGATGATCAATTTTAGGACGACCTGAATTTGGATGTATCAAAACAGTTAGATTACCATGATACGTTGATATAAATGAAATTGTTTGTGTGAATTGTTCAAGTGGTATATAGACACCCCATGAACCAATAGGATGTGGCCTAAATCAAATATCAAAATGTTGTATCAAAGCTATTCCAGATCAACTAAATACTGAATAATTATCTAATAACTGATGATATCATAATAGAAAAACATTTATATAATTAATTTTTCCTTTTAAATATACATATATATATATATCATTTTTTACGAACAAATATTTAGAAAATGATTCGAAAAAAAATCAGAATTCAATTTTTCTAATGCTCTACATGGTTGCAAAATTATTCAGATGATACTAAGTTGTGTAGTTGACAAGCCTAATGATGCGGGTGTGGAATAGTTCTTTCATAATATGAATTCTTTCTAATACGCTCAAGATATATACACGCCGAAAAATAAATTCAAGGATTTAAAAATAAGATAAATTCTAAAACAATAAATCTCAATAATAGTGTACCTTTCGCACTCGGAAGTCATAAGTCGCTCCCATTTCTTTATCTAATGCTTCTCATATAATATTTGCTTGATGTGTTCGTTTTTAGAATCACTTTTACTCATAAAATTTATGTCGGACTAATAAATAACTAATACTACAGGCAAGATAAGTTAGGGGCTGTGGATCAGCGTTGTTATGAACTCGAATCGTAGTCTGGAAGGACCTGCAGTTTCTTAACGATAACTATTTCAAAACTAGAGTCGGCTCAAGTGTGTTGTTTGATTCAATATGAAATTGAATCTGATAAATAGTTAACTTACTCATGTATGAGTTATCTTTCCGAATAGTACAAAGTTCAAACGTTATTTCAATTGAACCATGGTGTTCTAAAGATTTACTTCTTTATCTATAGGACTTAGTGACACTTGAATAAACCTACAATTATGTGAAGTTCTAACAAAATTTGATTCTGACTCTTCAGAATCATTCATTAAATATATTTTTCGTGAAAAGTGATTTTTTTTTAAAATGAAAACTAACCATATATGAGTGTTTTTTTGATTATAACATCAACAATTAATTTATAATTCTTCTGACATTAGTTGACATGAAATAACTTTGAGAAACATTAGCAACAAAGTTGCTATTTCATCAATATGTTTAATTTCTATATGACATATATATATATATGTTATAAACATAATTATTATAGGTATAAAAAAATTTTTATCGTACCCAACGGGTGACATATTTAAATTCCAATGACAAATTCGAGGGCACCATGTTTCACAATGATCATTACAGTTGCTAACATTAAATTTAGCAAGAAATTGATTTCGTAATTGATTAGCTTCATTTCGTTGTTTAGAATCGTTTTGTAAAAAATATACATGAATATGATACGAATAATATGTTATATTATCAAATTTTAAATCCTTCAAATAAGGTTTAATTCTAGAGTTGGAAACATCATCGATATCATTTTGTCGCATAAAATGACCAATTGCGATTGAATTAATAGTGAAACAAATAAATATTATCAATATAACATTACCAACCATCTTTTGTATAAAAATCCACTGTTTATACAAGCAAAAGAATAGTTCTTCATTTATACTGTATACTTATAGATTAATATGAATAATAGACATACGTGATGATAGAGGGCTAAGATAATACTGACATCAGTAGAACAAAGTACAAACTCTTAAATGAAAAGTCGTTTCTACCAATTTATTCCTATATTAGGAAATATTTCTTCGACATCTCTGCAGAACGTATATTAATATATGATGATAAATGCTTTACTTGTGATATTTATCGATAGAATATTGACTAGAACAAAGTTTTTTAAAATGATTTTATTTGAAGTCAACGAATAACAAACAGTATCTTTAGTTCAAAAAGAAAAGAAATATTGTGTAGAATATGCATAAAAAAAGAGATATCAACAAGTTTTTAAATATTCTCCTCAAGTCTCAGTAAGTTACATGAATATGAGTGAGCTAATAATTACTACAGTATCAAATATCAAACATATGTTTGATTGAGTCGATTGCCGATTAACGTACTATTCGTTGTTGATGAACCAGTATTTGCTGTCGTCAAACCACTTGAAAGTTTATCGATTTTTTTTGTTAATTTATCTTTATTATTATAATTATTTTTAGTCAATGATTTAATTGAAACAAGCACTTGTTCATTTTCAGAATCTGATGTTGATATATCGAATTCAGTTGTTGCATGAAATAAATTTTGAAATCTTTTTTCATCATGTTTATATCCTCCAACTTCTGTTTCTTGTTTTGTAGTTGACTTCGTACAACCCATATGCCACCGTAGATATAACGAAAAACAAAATTGTTTATGTATTTAACTAGATAACATGACATACGAGTCAACAGTAACTATATATGTAAAGATAAATCCTCAAGTAATAAAAAAATTCTTTGTAAAAATCTTATTTTCTTTTGAAACATATTTTATCACTCATAGGAGTTATAAAATCAGAAAAAGACGTCTTATCGTGTTTTTTTTCATATATCTATCAAAGTAGGAAAAAAAGGGTCTGATTCAAAATCAATAACAGTTCTTATATTTGTATTAAAAATGACAAATTCAAAGTTTTTATTTCTTACAAGATTCATATTAGACAGTTTTTATAGAATGATATTCATAGTTTTCATTCTAATCATTTTTTTTTCTTTTTAAATTTGTTTCCTAAACAATAGTCCGTTATGTTCAAAGAGAAAGCTAATTGTCGCTACTGTCTTTATTTTCTCTTAGCCAATAGTTAAACATGTTTTCGAATCCTTTCTTCTTCAGTATTTGTTACGGCCACCATCGTTTCTCTCATGATCAGTCTATTCATAATCGTCCATTTAGTTAACTAATCGTGTTTCTGTGTATGTGTGTGAATGCGTATTTTATTCCATCTAATTTAATTTCTCAAATTTTTAGACTTATTTAATAATCATATATTTAAGCTGCCTTCATCACCATCATGAGCCATTATTCAGCTTTTCTTCGTTCATATAATGGGAAACCTACAAATTCAACTAATAATTCTGCATTATTAAATAATGAAAATGATGAAAATTCTACAATAAAAAATCTTATTTTTAAACATATATCAAAAGCACAACAAACTTCAATAAATGCAAACGGTAAAAAAGGAACAATGCGTGGAATCCTTGGTGAAGTTGGTAACATGACATTGTCAAATAAACCACTAATTTCTAAATCAAAAATTATTCAACAACAATATTCTGGAGGAGTAATTATTGAATCACAATCAAATAATAATACACTACCACCAGCACCGCCACCACTATCACTACCACCATCAACAACAAATATTATTGTTGCCAATGAAATAGAAGAGATTATTTTAGATGATAATTTTGAATCGTCAACAGACATACCAGTTGAATTTGATTGTGATAGTGGTGATCGAAATAATATAACGACTGTTTCAGAATTAGTTGTTGATATTTGCAAATATTGGAAAGAACTTGAACAACGTACACCTATTCGACAGAATTTTTTACTTTATCGTCGTGAAGGTCAATCAAATTAATAGAGAATTCTGTTTAAATATCGTAGAATTTTATTTTATAGGCACAGCTTCACCTCAAAATCGAGCTGTACTTATTGATTGGCTTTATCAAGTACACGATCGTTTTAAACTTCTTTCGGATACATTTCATATGACAATTCATCTTATTGATCGTTATTTACAAATAGTTGATGTGTCTAAACATGAATTACAACTTATTGGATCAACTGGTATGATTAAAATAAAGAATTTCGATAAGCACAATGCTTTTTAAACAAATATTTTCATATTTGTTTTAGAAATAAATTTTTTTAAAGCATATCATCAAAGTCAAATTTAATTTTTGCCAGCACATTACAAAATATTTGAACATGATACATAGAGTATCTGTTCATCATATGAAATTTAGATATAGTCTTTGAAAAATTTTCATCAGTGAATTTACAAGAAAACCTCTTTAAGTAACTTCGAGCTTTTCCGCTGCAATTTTTCCTATAAATAAGATTCGGTGAAATTACAAAAAGTTAAATATAAGATAAGGATCCATGGGTCTTTCTTCTATATTCATGAGCATTTTACTAGGTTTATTACATATAACAAAAGACACATCGAAAACTTAAACTATAGAATTTTGATCTGAAATTTTTTTTACATATTGATTTCGTTATTTTTATAACAACCTAAATGTCACAATCAAAATGAATACTTCTTTCCCGAAATATTGAATGTTTAAAAAACACTGTCCTGATACCATATGTCATGCAAAATTGACTTTTCATCAACACTCAGAAAGACTAACAGGTTCTTTGACTATTACATTATTTTTCAGTTTTACTAGGTTTTACTTAAGCGAAATATATCAGTGTAATAATTCTAAATTAGTTGAGACAATTTTTTCGTTAGTTATGAAATACATTGCTACTTCATACCGAAAATACTACACCATGTTCTGATTGATGAGCGAAGTTCTCTTTTTTTTTTTACTAGATTTTTCTTTCGTAAAAACCTAAAAATTTTAGTGTTAACTAATCGAAGTAGACCTTAGCTAAATAATTAATTGTAAAGATGGAGCATTTCATAATTGCGTGCTGTCAAATTTCGATTTATCATAGTTAAATTCATCATTTTGCCTATCTTTTATTTTCTACCATGCGATCATGTAATGTTTATCTTACATTATACAGTCAGTTGCAAAATTTTGTTAAATATAGCGGAAAACTAAATTAAAAGGTTAATAGGTCAAGCTTCTAGTCAAGAACTATGATTTTATTGCTTCTATAAAAATCCAATCTCTGAATTGAGACTAGATCTTAATATAATTTTTTGTTTTAGCCTTACTATTAGCATGTAAATATGAAGAAATGGCAATACCTGGTATGAATGATTTTGTTTATGTATCCGATAATGCTTATTCAAAAGACGATATGAAAGAAATGGAACGACGTATAATATCAACATTATCATTTGATCTTGGCCGTCCGTTATCAATAAATTATCTTCGTCGTTATTCAAAAATAATTCAAGCAACTGATATAGAACATACATTAGGAAAATATCTTCTTGATTTAACATTTATTGATCATTCATTTTCACATATACTTCCGTCGTATATATCAGCTTGTGCATCATTTTTCTCACGTTATTTGCTTGCATATAAACGTATACCATCATTAACATCAATATCATTATTAATTGAAAATTTATGGCCAACAAAATTTATGTTTTATCATACAGGTTATACATACGAACAACTTTATCAAGGTATTGAACAATTAGGACAATTACTTATTGGACAAGATACAGCAAAATTAAAAAGTGTACAAAAAAAATTTTCTCAAAGTAATATGTTTTCAATAGCACAAAATAGTTGTTGTAAAAGTGCTTATGTTCAAATAGCATTAACACATTTATTAAAATAATTCATTTTAATTTCACTATATATATATATAAATCAAATAAGAGAATTGAACAATAATGGAAACAAGAAATAGTTATCAATCTTTTTTTATAATTAGATAAATATATAATAGGAAATATTTTCTTTCGCTTTATTTTCAATGTCAGATAAATGAAATTAGATAATCAAATCAATTGCTGGTATATAGTCAAATATCGCATTTTGTGGTGTTTTTTTTCTCGGTTTTTTTGTTCGCTATTATATTTCAATGTTATTGTTTATTATTATTTTTCTTCTGTTAGCTTTTTTTGTCTCTTGTAAATGTACAATAAAAGATCAGATATGATGTACATTTTGGTACAATTATTTGATCATTTATGTTTATGTAAAAACAAAAAAAGCAAAGATTAACTTTGCCTTTAGAACTTACACTCTGTGAGTGTATTTTGTGTTCTTTTTTTTTTTTTTTTACTTAGAAAAGATGTGATGATCGACTATAGGAACTAAATGAAATTTTTGTGTGCGTGTGTTTGTGTGATGATATTAGGTCAAATTATTCTTGTGTAATCATCACAACTGTGTATGTCAGATATATATATGAATAAAAACAAATGAATAACTGATCAACTTGGTCTCTTTTTTTTTGTTGTATTCCAATAGATTAGTATTGTTGAAAATACATGACCTGCGTATATTTTAATGACGATAATGATTATTTTCTCTCTCACAATTATTTTTCCTTTCTATAATACACGTAAATGATCAGTATTATATTAGAACATATCTTGAATATGAACTTTTTAACTTGAATTAGTAAAAAAATTTCATCTATTGTCATCACTATTTCTCGTATAAATATTCTATTGTATTTATTTTTTGATCCTATTAAAAATATCTTTCATATATGAAATTAGAACATTATATAAAAGAAAACGATATATATAATTTGTCATCTAAATATAACAGATCGTTTATGAAACTTCATTCAATAGAAAACATGTATGCTTCTATATGATAGTATAACAACAATTCTATATTTGTCAAATCTGTTTTTCATACTTGTCAATCAAAGTAGCAAGAAATTAAACAATAGATTGCTTCTTTTT